CTTTATAAGTAATAAGCAAGATTTTAAAATCTATACGATGTTTAATAGGTAGCCAGTGCAGTGTTGACGTACATGGTGCGATTCTGAAGGTCAGAACGCCATGAGCTCTGGCACATGTCACGATTGAGTTTATCCGAAAATCGTACGGAGGCGGTCACACTGACTCACACACGACACGAATTTACTACGATTTTACAAACTCTGTCATAAGCATTACATTTTGCGCCACTCATAAAAATGACTCATAAAAAAATGTCCGCCACGCCTGAGTCCCCGGCCAAGATGGCTGCCACGCCTGAGTCGGACGCGGAGCTTAGGCCAAGACTGAAAAGACTGATAGCTAGCGTGATGGACTTACCACTGATGTCGGTGAGAGCTGCAGGCATCCCGTTGACGTCAGTGCTCTCAACCCCAACAGTCTTAGAGGTCCTGCCGCCGTCTGCTGCCCTTACTTTAATGGCGGTCGCCATTTTAAGCGTGTGGGCTGTACACTGCGCTCAAGAGGCCTCTCCTGTCCATGAATCTGCCCCAGTGGCCTCTCCTGCCTATGAGTCTGTAACTGCACTTGGGTTCTTCACTTACGCTCGCCTTCAGTGGACTGATTCGTTACAATATTATATAATTACATATACAAAATATAATTAAACATTATAAATATCATTTATTTGAAAATATTAAAAAATGATAAATTATATATATATATATATATATAATTTACGGCATATTAATATTTTTCTATTACTCTAATAACTATAGATGTATGTATCAATACGGCATATTGATACATACATCTATAGTTGTAAATAAATCAGGTTGACTTTGTTTTGAGTAGCTTGTAACTTGTCAAGCTTCACTTTCAAAGTAGTTTGCTCAACACTGATTAGTTTGTATTTTATTTACAGGATGCAATGACAAATTATTTCTCATTTATCTATCCGTGAATATCCTGATGCTTGATAAGCTCTAATCTCACTCTGAAGTCATTATAATGGATCTGAGTAAGACGTCATTCTCCAACCCTTCCTTCTGAACACGCTTCACTAGCCGGTGGTTGATTCTCACTTGATGTCTCTTTCTTCCTGCAATGCCCAGCTGAGACCTCCTAAGCTACAGAGACCGTCTAATATTTCCATTTACTCCTGAGGAACCTCTGATTCTGAGTACAGTATGCCACAGCATACCTTCCACAATTAGGAGCCGCATGCAGAGAGAGATCAGAGTTTCCTGACTCAATCCCTACACCCAATCTTGAACATTCCAGCAAATAAAAAACACTCTGGGAAAGCCAGATCCCTGTCTGCCCTCCCCCAAACACAAAACATGAATGAGGTGGTAAGAAAGAAAGCCTGACAAGGGTAACCAGACCCCTGCTGGGTGTGATTTGTTTGTGCAATCACGAGACTCTTGGGTTTACACTTGTACACCACAATGGGAGGTAGAGGTGGTGTTTTGTCTCATGTGGGTAAAAATACACAAGCACAACACTGTGAGCTATCACAACCTTATCTTTGAACAATCACTTTATGTGATCAATGCTTATGAAACGTCAAAATCGGC